TGGGTACAACACCCCTGTCCTGTGCCGTCGGTGGCTTTACCAATTTTGCATAGCAGCTTTTGAGCTGATCAATAGCTCTGGTTGGCTGTTGAGGATTTCCTGGATTCCTGTACCCCACTGGGGGCCCAATATGCTGACAAAAGTTACATTTGTAGTTGTAGTGCTGCATATACCTGGGTCCAGTTAGAAGGCTTTGATTCTTTCTAAAGGGAAAGGCATCTCTGAGGGATCACTGAGCTGACATAGTCTCCTAAAACCCTGCTGTCAGGTGGGCGACAAAGCAGGACAGGAGGGTGATTTCGTAGAAGAGTCAGGCCACGGGCCTGCGTGTTCTCTCTGTCCCCATAGTGCCGGAGATCCTACATGCTCCAGGCCCCGGGTTTGCATTGCATATAATTCTCTGTCCCTGGCTCATGGCAAGCTGCGCCAGGGACACAGAGGGCGGGGATGCAGGGACCCTGTCCCCAGTGGACCAAGGACTCACTGCTGAACTCTAATCTGTCTAGGTGTTTTTGCGACTTGCAGAAATACCTCCACCTTGCCTGGGCCTGGAGCCACAGGAGACCCTACTGAAGGTGAAGAATGTTCTGGAACAATGCAGGACCTGCCCAGGCTGCCCCCTGGAGCCAGCGTCCTGGGGTCTCTGTGCGGCACCCAGCAACGTGAGCTTGCAGGACCCCAAGGAGCCCTCCTTCTGCTTGGAAACTGAGGATGACTGGAAGGACCCAGAGGCCCTGAGCTCACTGCTGCTGTTCCTGAACGCCCCCGGGTACAAGGCCAGCTTCCATGGCCTCTATGATGTGGTGTTGCCATGGCTGAGCAGCATGTTCTGCAGCTTTAGCGACGAGGAGGAACTGACTGGGCGCCTGGCACAGGCCCGAGGGGCGGCCAAGAACGCTGGCCTCCTCACGGCCCTGGCCAGACTCCGCTTCCTCCTGGCGCGGCTGTGCAGCAGGAGGCTCAAGCTGTCCCAGGCCCGGGTGTACTTTGAGGAAGCACTGGGGGCCCTGGAGGGCAGAATTTACCGGAAGCAGAACCGGGAGAAGTGTACACAGGTGGTTCCCAAAGTCATGGCCCTGCTCCTGGGGATGCCCGGCCACATCTGCAGCACCGAGGTGGAGGGGGAGCTCCTGCAGCTGGCGCTGCAGCAGGCGGTGGGTGGCCAGAGCCTGCAAGCCGAGGCCCGGGCCTGCTTCCTGCTGGCCAGGCACCACGTGCACCTCAAGCAGCCCGAGAAGGACCTGCCCTTCCTAGAGCAGCTGCTGCTTTTGCACAGGGACTTGGGAGCCCCAGAGGCTGCGTGGCTCTCAGACTGCTCCCTCCTCCTGGCTGACATCTACAGCCGCAAGTGCCTGCCCCACCTGGTGCTGAGCTTTGTCAAGGTGGCCTCATCGAGGACACAGGACTCCCTGGCCGGCTCGTTGAGGCGTGTGAACCTGGTGCTCCAGAATGCCCT